TGTGGGTGGGGGCTGGATGGGGGGAGTGAGAAATTTAGCAAGAGGAGGTGAGGCTTAAAAAAGGGCCACCACCGAGAGTTCTGCTGGAAAAGCAAGTGGAAGCCTGCTCGTGACAGGCTGGGGTGACGTGATAACATTTTGACAGATACCAGAGTCTGTCTGATAAATGTTGCTACCCTGAATTCAGATTAGGTCAACCCGTCTCTACCTTGTTAACTCCTTCAAGGTCCAGGTCAGGCACCTTCTCAGGGAAGCCTTCCCTCAAGCCCCCATGCTTCCACTATTTTAGAACTTGTCAACTGTATGTATCATATCTATCTGTCTTCTTCATTAGGCTGTAAGCTCCTTGAGGGTGGGGAGGGTGTCTTATTTAGTTATGTACGAGGCCCATGGACTTGATATACAAAATGCTCAATCAGTGAATGAATAGCAGGAACTAATGTTACTATTACTAATGATAATAATACATCAAAACTAATGACAATAACATTTACTGCCTGTTGTGCTAAGAACCCCACATTCACCTGGTTATTCAGGCCTGAAACCTCAATCCCATCCTTGACTGCCCTTTCACCCTCTCCACCCACATCCAGTCTGTCTGAAAGCCTACCTACTGTACCTACTTAGTGTTCCTCAGATCTGTACTTTTGCCAATCAGCACTGCTCCTGCCTTGGTCCAGGCCAGCATTATCTCAAAACAGACGACTGTAACAGCCTCTCCCTGGTCTCTCTGCCTCCAGTCTTGCTCTCCAATCCATTCTCCATTCCTGCAGCCGCAGTGTTGATTCTAAAATGAAAATGTGACCATGGGCACACCCCAGTTTAAGGCCTTTCTGTGGCTTTCCTTTGCCCTTGGGGATCTCAAGGCCCTTCGTGAGCCTCTGCCTCTTTCTCCAGCCTGATCTCTGGCCTCTCATCCCTGCCTTCCCATTTTCTCCTCCAGCCTTTCTGACCACTTTCATGGCCGTATCCCAGCCCAGATCTGTGTAGGTAGAGGTGGTGTTGAGGGAGTCTGGCTTGTGAGTGGAGCTAGGAGAGTGCAGGGAACCACAGGAAGCAAGGTTGGTGAGGTTGAGACCTGGGAGATTTGACCTTAATGGCAGGCACCATGATGTTCATGCCCTAATAGAATTCTGGGAGTAGAAGGAACACCATGAGAAATGGACTGTTAGGGAAGTTTGGGGTCAGCACCCAGGTCTGCTTTTTGTCTGTTTGTTTTTAACCTACCATTTAATTGAGCATCTAATATGTGGCAGGCATTAGGCCTGCCACATATTAGACATATTATTACACATATTATTTGACTTAATTCTGCAATAACCCCCAAAGATTACTACTAATCTCATTGAACAGATATGGAAACTGAGGCCTGGAATGTTTAAATAGCTTGTCTAAATGCAGGCTGCAGATAAAAGCCAAATCCAGTTTGAACCCCAGCCTATTGGACTCTGAAGTCAGAGTTTGGGAACTACATACACACTGGGTAAGGGGTTTTGAGGGGTGTGAGACCTGTCCCACTTTAATTCTTCTTTGTCTCTCTAAAGCCTGGAACAGGGCCAATCGTCCTCCACAAACAAAAACTTCCTCCACTAATGTCTTTTTCCTGGGTTAGACATCACTGGCGGGGCACGTTAACTCCGAAAGTCCCCCAAGGGAAGACGCAGCTGGCCCCTCAGTTGGAGAAAGAGATGATGGGTGGGATGAGATATGGTGGCGAGGTGGAGAGAAGAAGCAGGGCAGGCCTCAGGCCAGGGCTGGAGTGGGAAGGCCACAGAGGACCAACAGAGAGTGGATGGGAAGGGAGGGCATATGAGAAACAGATTTTGCCTCATTCTCCATGTCATCAGGATCGGCTGTCTGAACCTCATCCTAGCCCCCCCTTGGAGCCCCTGAGAGCTTAGGTGTATGGGACCATCAACACATCCGAAATCATGGAAGCTTGAAATGATCGAATCTTAGAAGCACAACCTCCTACAACTCTAGAAGCTTTGTGTTCTAATGAAATGCAGAATCTTAGAAACCTAGAACCTTGGAATCTTAGAATTTTGAAATCATGGATTCAGAAACTATCTGTACAGTAAACCCGTGAAGATCCAAGTTCACCCCCACCCCTTATTTTGCAGATGGGAAACTGAGGCTCAGAGAAGGAAAGAAAGAGTCTTCCTCAACATCACACAGTGATTTAGTGGCATAAGGAGCTAGATCCCTTTCTACCAGCCACGTGCAAGGATGGGGCAAGGGCCAGGACTGTGGGGACGGAGGCAGCCTGAGGTCTTGGCAGTTCTTCCTCCTGCCTGGTTTTGGCGTGGCCTTGGGCACTCACCTCCCTAGAAGAAGAGGGAGCTCTGGGCAGTGCTTCTCACCTTGGAGGGCGTGGTGGGCCTGGGACTCCTGGGGTTGCGGGACGGCTTGCCAGGCCTCCACATTCTTAGCTGCTGCCAGGTCTGTCCCAGGCCAGGGCTGAGACATTCTCTCTGTCTTCATGCTCTGAGCCGGCGGGGAGGGGGAGGGGTTGCCAACTGGCACAGGGGCCGGGCTACAGGGCCGCCCCAGAGAAGGTGGGACAGGTTTTCTTCAGCAGCAAGCCTAAGACGTAAGGCCACAGCGGTGTTGCAATCGCTCCCTTCTCTGGTGGGGGAGGGACTGAGGAAGAAAGACATTATTCAATCCTCGGAGCATTGGGCTGGCTCTACCGAGCACCCCAGCTGGGTCTGTGTCCTGCCCTCTCTGCCAGCAGCGGCTGAGAGATAAACACAGCTCATTTGATACGGGCCAGCCGGGGCCTTGCTGGGAACGGGATCTGCTGTCTGATCCCCCCTCTAACCATGCGGGGCTGGAGAGTGGGTGGGGAGCAAACCAAGCCTTGGCCGTCCCAGTGGCCACTGAAGCACAGACTCTGAGGGCATCACGACCGCGGCCTCAAATCCTTGTTTTGGGGAGGCCCAAGAGGCAGAGCAGAAGCAGTGCAGGGACCCAGGGAGGCTGGTCTCAGCTTCTCACAAAGGAAACTTTCTAAAGGTTCGCAGTGGCCCTTAGCTCCTGTCCTCCGCTCCAGGCCATCCCCAGCACAGAGAGGGGACTCTGGCCTCGCGGGTGAGCTGCCCTTGCTACTGTACTGCTTTTGATGCCCTGTGATTCTGTGAGTTTAAACATCTAAGAGAATGATTCAGAAAGTGTGAGACTCTAGAAAGTGTGCAGGAGGAGGCATGAAAGGCAATCTCTAGATTCTAGACCAATAGGGGACCCAGAGAAAAAAATAGTGAATGGGGGATGGTGGCCCGGGGGACCAAGAGAATAAACCTCTAGGCCCTGAGTTTGAGCAAAAAGCCATGGCAGGTGAGGTGAACTAAAGGGATCTCCGCTTGGGAACCTGGGGTCCTGGGTTCAAATCAATAGGTGGGTGGCCTCAGGCAAGTCACTCAGTCTTTGTGATCCTCAGTTTTCTCATCTAGTTTTCTTATAATCATGGTAACGATCCCAATGACCCTGCAAAACTGACTTTATCCTCTTGAATCTTGAACAGATGATAACGTCCATCTTGCAGGGTCATTGTTACCATAATTATCATAATAATAGCATTCAACTAAGTGTCAGGAATGGGGCTAAGTAAGCACTTTCCAAGCATTATTCAATTTAATTCTCAAAACATTGATGTTAATAAGATAATTAAGTAATTTACGTAAATAGAATATCATCAACAAATGTTGGTTCCTTTCTCCAAATTTCAATCTCATTTAATTCAACACGTCTTTATGGATACTTAGCTTGTGCTGGGCCTCCCAGTTTCTCCCTGAAAGAGCTTAGATTATTCTTTGGATAATGGAGAGGCTTTTGTAGGAATGATAGCATCCCTTCTGGGTTGTAAAAATCTTCAGGTACCTGTATGGAGGAGGGCTGGCAAGGATAGGGCCAGAGGCAGAGGAACACAGCAAGGGGGCCTCAACGCCTGACCTGGAGCCCTGACCTGGGGCTAGGTGCTGAGCTGGTGAGAGGTGAGGACATGAGTGTTCTAGACAGAGCTCGAAAGACTGGGCAATTGATGGGCTGTGGGAGGAGAGAAGGGGTGGAGGTCTCAAGAAAGAAGGATTGCAGGAGAGATATCTAACCCACAGAAGGAAATAAACTATTCTAGTCATTCTTAGAAGCATTCATCTACGTATTGACGACTGATGCGCAGATTACAAAAGTAACCGGGTGATGTGCAGTCACAGTACCAATGACTATTTTTAAGGATATTTAAAAGTCAGTTTCCTAACAACCTTTCACTAGGCAGCACTTTGTTTTCCCAATTCAAGCACTTTCCATCAGAGCTCAGTGAGATATAGGGACACGGTAGAGTATGAAAGCAAGAAAGCTGCTGTCAGTGGCTTTATTTGAAAGATAGGTCACATGGCCCAGAGAAGGGGTGTGTGTGTGTGTGTGTGTGTGTTCGCGCGCGTGCGCTCGCACGTGTGTAGGCAGGGGAGCAGCAGAGGGCAAGGGAGGGGAGGGTGCAGAGATGTAGTAAATAAATAAGCAAAACGGGACAAAGGAAAAGGAAGCAAGTGTGATTATGAGGGCAGAAGGAGCACTGCCTTGTGAGTCAGGAGACTTTGGCTGTCATCCCTGCTTGATGACTGACTTACTGTGTGTTTTTTGAGGTGTAGTTTGGCCTCTCTGGGCCTCAGATCATTCATCTACTTATAATAACTAACATTTACACCACAATTTAAATCTGTAAAGCATGTTCACTGCTTAATCCCCTAACCACGCTGTGAGAGAAGTGTTAAGGTTCAGAGAGGGACAGTGACATGCCTAAAGTCACACAGCAAGTGTGTGGTCAAGCTGATATTCAAACTCAGACATTCTGGCCCTCTGACTAGGAGAGCACGTCCTGTGGATTCTCCTTCACTTGAGTGGTCCAGATGACATCCTTCCTAGAGCCAGAAAGAAGGAGGGATGAGGCAGGGACTTCAGGCTGGAGCCTCCTGGGACTGATAAAGCACTGGTTGGTTTGCCAGGCCCAGACATGTTCTGCCTCTTTCATGGGAAGAGGTATTCCCCCGGCGAGAGCTGGCACCCCTACCTGGAGCCCCAGGGCCTGATGTACTGCCTGCGCTGTACTTGCTCCGAGGTAGGTTCCTCTGGCCACCTGTGACAGGTATGTCTGGGAGACCTCCAGTGAAGGCACCCCGGAGGGAGGGAGGACAGCCTGACTCTGAGGGTCAGGGGCACTCTGGAACTGGGCCCCCTAGAATCGTGCTCTGTCAGCAGCAACTGAGGGACTTGGGGCCGCACCACTTCACTACTGGGTATCTAATACATAGGCATAGATGCCTACTGTGCACCTCCCAGAGATAAATCACACAGTGGGTCAGTAGCTGGGCTGGGATGAGGACCCAGGCCTCCCATCTCTCATCCAGCCTTCTTTCCTGCTGGTGCCAGTCTCCCTGTGCCCATGCAGCAGAAGACAGCCTTCCTGACCTGACCTCCTAATCCTTCCTTTCCTCGGGCTATCTCCTCCAGCCACCTCTCTTGCCGCCCTGCCTTAGGATGCGTTCTCCCAACACCACTGGTCCAAGTATTTATTCTTTGCAGCTTCACCCAAATGCCACCTCCACCAGGAGCCTTACTTGATCCCTCAGCTGGAAGTATTTTCTTCTGGGAGGCCACATAAGTTTCTCTGTCCCTTTCTCCTGATCACTGTTGGCCAAGTAAAATGGTTGTCTGTGTCTCTTAGTTACTGCCTCGCCTAGATGGAGCCCTGGGAGCAGGTCTTCCTAGGTATTCACTCATGCCCATTTCGGGGTCCTGCAGAAGGCTATACCAACTGGGGCAGAGACCAGATCTTCTGTTAACCTCTGACTCCCCCCAGCCCACCCCAACCCAGCACCCTCCACAGGCCCTTGTACAGTCAACTGGGTGGAATAAACGAGACCCCCATGTGGTCCACAATCCCCAGGCCAGGTATGGGGTTAGAGGATGGCAAAGGAGGGAGTGATTTAGAACAGGGGTCCCCAACCCACGGTACCGGTCCGCGGCCTGTTAGGAACTGGGCCGCACAGCGATGCTCCCCATTGCTCACGTTACCGCCTGAACCATCCCCCCATTGCTCGCATTACCACCTGAATTACTATTCCCGCCCCCCACCCTGCCCCGTCCGTCCGTAGAAAAATTGTCTTCCACAGAACCGGTCCCTGGCACCAAAAAAGTTGGGGACCGCTGATTTAGGAGGCTTGAACCCCCTGGCCCTGGCTCAGCTGCCCAGTCTCATTGGTGTGAAGTCTGCAGCTCTCTCTGTCCAGGGGAGGGTGCTGAGGGGAGGGAGTACCTAGCTCCCAGCTGGAGCCAGCCCCTTAGCTCCTCTCTTTCCCTGCACAGCCAAGGCTGTGAGAGCCTCCCTTGTTAAAACAATCCTCAGGGTGGGAGCAGAGAAGAGCTTCTGAGGAAACACTGGGACATGGAGGCGGGGTAGGCCAGCCCCTCCCCTGACTCTGACCACTGGGGTCTCACTCCTCCTGGGGGTCTTTCCCTCTGACTCCCCACTGCTTCTGCCATGCTGGCCCCTGGTCGAACCTGATGCCAGTGGGAGCACAACCCCCCATCCCTGCTTCCCCTTGGTTTTCCTTAGCACATCTGAGGCCAATCAGCTTTTTCAGAAAGAACTTTGTGAAATATAGCCAAAAAACAGGAAGGAAACCATAACAGAAAATTCCAGACATATCATGCGGTCCAGTTGACAAAGTCCAAGTTTTGTGATCCAGTGGAGCTAATTCATTTCTCCCTCCCCAGAGTTCACACTTACACAGTTTCCTCACCCCAAGGGGCTGCAGCCGGCATCCCCCCAATACACCCTGAATCCCTTCCTTCTCTCCATCATCACTGCTCCCCCCTAATCTAAGCCACCTTCCTCTCTCACCTAGGCTGCTATGTGAGCATCCCATGAGGTCTCCCTGTACCCCTTTCTAATCTGTCCTCCGCACAGCAGCTAGAAGGATCTTTTCTGAACAAAAAACTAATCATGTCATTCAAAAATCTCTTAAAACCCTCCAATAGCTTCTCGTTGCACCTAAAGTAAAATTCAAATTGCCTGCTGTGGGCGCTATGTGATATGACTCTGCCTTATTCTCCAACCTCATTTCCTACCTGCACCAACACTTCAACTCATTCCGACTTGTTCCTCCACCCGGAATGTTCTTCCCCCAGATCTTCCCAGGAATGGTTCCTTCTCAACTTGCAGTTTATAACATAAAGTTGCCTCCTTATGAGGCTTTCTCTATGGCTGTTTCTAAAATAGTCTAACCTTGTTAACGCAATCACATTACACTGTTTTATTCCTGTTATAAATTTAACATCTGACATGATCTTGTTCCTACTTATTTATTTTTTATAGTCTGTCTCCCCCTGCTAGGGGGAAGCTCCGTGAGAGCACAGCTCTTGTCTCTCGCTCACTGCTATGCCCCTAGTGCTCAGAAGAGGATGTGGCGCCCAGCTGTCATGCAGTAAACATTGAGTGAATGAGTTAGTTCCCGCCCCCTCCACCAGAGGCACTTTCATGGAAGGTGCACAGACCCTGCACAGTGCTCACCTGCTGTGTGTCTTAGGCAAATTGACCTCTCAGAGGCTCTTTTCTCATTTTGAAATGGTGGATAATAAATAGTATCTACCTCTAGGGTTGTTGAGACGATGAAGTGAGAGGATGCATTTCTATATAACATAATGCCCATACCTAGTAGTCACTCCATAAATGGTAGTTATGACTTTCCTGAGAGGCACCCCTTGGCTGCAAGGCCTCCTGCCTTGCCCCTGCCCTTTCGCACCCCCAGCCTGTCTCTGCCTTACTTCCTGCTGCATGTCGCTCATCATCTCCACCCCTTGGTTCCTTCAACGCCAGAATCAAGAGAGAGATTCTAACTCTTCAGACAACACAGTTCCTCATACTCTACCCTGGTTTCTCACCTGAGGGGCTCCGTTCACCCTCTGGACATTCATCAAACACCCCTGTGTGCCAGGCCTCTAGAAGGCCCCTTCTGGAGCTCAGACCAATCCTGTGGACTCTAGGATGTCCCTTAGCACTGAGGAATCCTTGTCATCACTTCTGGCCATCTGGGGAAGCAGTGACCCCAAAGAGACTAAGGCCTGCTCCAGGGTTCTCCATGGGGCAGGAGGCTGCCTTGGGAGAAGTGTTTCGGGGGCACTCAGCTGGGGCTGGAAACACACTTGCCAACTCCAAAGTTTAAACAAAGCTGGCTCCATCTGACTAAGGAAGAGACCATCTCTCCTTCCCCTCTTGGCTCTCATTCATTCACTCATTCGTTCATTCGAACTTCAGCAGGCACTTGTTTGGAGCAAGGCCCTGTGCCCAAAATTCAGAGATGAATAGAGTGAGGCTTGGCCCTTGTTCTTGGGAATTCGTGGCTGAACAGAAGAGACAGATGTAACGGTTTGTTACAACACGGGGCAACGCCCTTACAGCAGAGGGAGAGGAAAGTGTGGGACGTCTGTGACAGGCTGACAAACTGCCTGGGAACATCTCCAGTGGTGGCCTCTCCCTCCAGTTCTTCTGTTTCTGCTCATCTCTATGAATGCTTCTCTGCCCCTTCTCTCTCGTTTGCTGTATTTGAAAAAGTCCAAGATTTCAGGCCCTTCCTCTGGTACCAATCCCAAGGCTTTGCGTGGGATCAACCACACCTCCCAGAGATTTAGAGAGCAGATCACAAAGCCCTGAGTCTTCTCCACATCCTGTTTCTAGCTGTGTCCCCATCCCTGTCACCTCCCTTTCTGTGTCACACTCCTCTCTTAGCCCTGAGGCTCAGGTCCAGAGGTAAAAGAACAAAGCCCTGGAGTTAAAAAAGCACAGTCAAGATCAATGTTAGAATAACCCAGTCTTCTACTTGTATTTCTCAAATACCACAAAGGGACACAAAAGATCTGTGTAAATCCAGGCACACGGTGCCCTCCTCCGTGCGAGGGAGGGACACGGATGGGCGAGCCACACAAATGAGGAGGGGAAGGGGAGAGACTGGACACACAGAGTTTATCACTTTTATCCCATTGCAGGCTTAAAGCGAATACAGTGCCCTGCAGTTGGGAGGGGGTTTGGGGAGAGGACGGTGGGAGACAGTGGCTCCTTGGAACTAGGACTGACCCCTGTGTCCCCTTCAGAGTGCCCATGTGAGCTGTTACCGCCTCCACTGCCCGCCTGTCCACTGCCCCCAGCCTGTGACCGAGCCACAGCAGTGCTGTCCCCGGTGTGTGGGTAAGTAGCTGCGCTCCTGCCCTTGTGCCAGCCTCCCGCTTGCCCACTAACCCTTGACCCACTCCTGACACAGGCCTCCAGCTTAAGGAGACCCCTGGAATGAGAGGGGCAGTCTGCAGACACCAGAAGTGTTAAGACACCAAGGTGCTCAGGGGAAGACATCCTCCATGGATCCCCAAGGAGGGCTGGGGTAGCCACAAACTTCTCATACATAAGTAGCTGTGTTTGGCAGGAAGACAGAGAGAATGTGGAAAATAGCTGAAGGAAAATGGGCATATGCTTGGCCTGTTGACGACACACGTGGTCTCCTATCGCTCTTGGGCTGGCCAGAGCCTGAGTGAGTGGACGTGCCTTGTGTAAGTGCAAGTGAGTGAGCTGGGGCTGGGAGGCCCTGCAGGGTCACCCCAGGATCAGCCCAGGATTACCACCAGGGGCTGGGACTGGCCGAAGGAGTTGGAGTACATGTGCTCTGAGATTCCTCCCAGGGCTGGGGTTTAGGGATGCTGTGTGCCATGATGCTAAATGTCCATGATTTTAAGAATCTGCTGGGAGCCTCTGAGACTCGGATTCTAGGAAGCAGAGGTAAGAGAGAGGAGAGGAGAGGTGGTCTGAGAAGAAACTGGCAGAACCAAGTGGCAAATGAGGGGCAGCCAGTGGGGAGGCCAACTCAGAAGGCAGGGACACGTTGAGAGGCGCATCCACGCTTAGTAGCATTAAGGTGATGCATACAGCTGATTCACTTTGTTGTACAGCAGGAACTAACACAGCATTGTAAAGCAATTATATTTCAATAAAGATGTTAAAAGAAAAAAGTTCAGTTGGGTGAGAAAAAGAAAAAGAAGATGATGAAGGGAGGGAGGCTCCAGACTGTAGCCTCAGCTCCAGACTCTGGAATCATGGCTCTCCTGGGGAGCTGGGGACCTGTATGGAGGATGTATGTAGAGGGGCTCCTTTTCCAAGGGGGACCCCAGTAGGGATCTGACCATGACTCCAGCTTGGGTCATAGTTTCCTGATTCTGGATTCCCTAGGGGAGCAGAGGCTTTGTGCTTCATCCCGCCTAGGGAGGGGGCATCACGCCTCCTCCCCAGCTGAGGCTGACCCCGGGACTCCTGACCACGCCTTGCGGACTGTGCCTTAGCCCAGACCCCTTCTTCGTCACAGGCTCCTCCCTCCCTCTCTCTTTCCCAGCCTTGTCCCTTTCCCTGCCTAGTCTGCGTGTTCTTCAGCTCCTAAGACTCAGCTCAGCCATCAGCCCCTTCAGGAAGCCTTCCCTGACCACCCTCCTCGGCTGAGTTAGGGGCGCCTCCTCTGTGCTGCCACAACTTCTGTGCTTCCATCACCCTAGCCCATACCACACCAGTGTCACTGCCTGGGGCCTGTCTCTACTCAGTGAGACTGTCAGTTTCCTGATGGGAGGGGCCGGGTCTTATTCGCACTCCATTCCCACTGTGTAGCATGGCGCCTGGTGCAGAGAAAGTGCTTAGTAAATATGTCTTGAAAGAATGAGCAGGTTGTGACCACCTAGAGGGGTGGGATAGGGAGGGTGGGAGGGAGACGCAAGAGGGAGGAGATATGGGGATATATGTATATGTAGAGCTGATTCACTTTGTTATAAAGCAGAAGCTAACACACCATTGTAAAGCAATTATACTCCAATAAAGATGTTTAAAAAATAAAATTAAAAAAAAAAAAAGAATGAGCAGGTTCCCCCTGGACGGGAGGCTTACCCCTCTACCCAGCAGGGTGAGGGCTGGCTAATTGGCAGGTGACGGGGAGGGGGCTCTGGTGGCCAGGGAATGGCAGGAGCTGACGCCAAGCTTACACAAGCGCAGTCCATATCATGCCAGCTGACTCCACTAGGATGAAACTCCATATGGGACCTTGTCTTGTTCACTGCTGTATCCCCAGCACCTAGAACAGTGCCTGGCACTAGGAGGTGCTCCATGGATGCTTATCGAATGTTGAATGAACTCACACAGGTCCCCACCGAGTGGGGCTCAGTGTACCTGAAGCATCTGGCCTTGCCTTCTTGCTCCGATCAGCACCAGCTCTGAAACTGAGGGGCTCAAAAGCTATGGGAGGGAGTGACATAGTCAGACATAGGTGTCCCGGGGACCTCTTTGTTCACTGATAGGAGGTCTGGCTGGGAAGGCTGAGGCCAGAGCTTGGTTTAAATGATAGCAAGGGATAGGATACAAACATTTCAGAAAAGTGCCCAAGTTAGTTCTGGCAAAGCTCTTCAACCGTTTTCTCCTTCCTCCTTCCCCTTCCCACCTGCAGAACCTCACACCCCCTCTGGGCTCCGGGCCCCACCAAGGTCCTGCCAGCACAACGGGACCACGTACCAACATGGAGAGATCTTCAGTGCCCACGAGCTGCTCCCTTCCCGCCTGCCCAACCAGTGTGTCCTCTGCAGCTGTACCGTAAGACCTGCTACTTCCCTTTAGCACAGGCCAGTGGTCTGGGCCTGCAGAGCACAGTGGTGTGGACCGGGGCGGGTAAGGGGAATTGTTCCTCCTGGTCAAAGGACAGTGAAAGTGAATGGGCTCAGGGGGAAGGGAACATCTGGGACTTGGAACGTCCTGCCTTTCTCTGGGCTTCCGCACCCTCCTGAGCTGCCTGGTCACCTTGCACTGACATTTGCCATTACTGTGTCCCCCAGTAGACTTTGCACTCCTTGAGGGGAGGGGATATGTTCAACTCATTTCTATATCCTCCACCACGCCCAGCTCAGGGCCTGGCACACAGATGTCTGTAATGATTGTTGAATGAGTGAGTGAGTGAATGAGTGAATGAGTGATCAGTTATCAATCCTGGGGCGCAGAGCCGGAGCCAGACTGCGTGCAGTAAATGCAGCTTAACCTGAAACTGCTTAAACTCCCCTGCTGTGGTCGGAGTTGGGCCTAGGGACAGGCAGGGCTGAACCAGCAGTGTTATCAGGGGACAGAAACTGAAGCCAAGCAGGGCCTGAGCTGGAAAGTCTTCCCCTCCTCCTCAGGGTGGGTTCTGGGCCTGGCCCTGCTGCATGTTTGCAGGTGGCCTTTGGCATGTCACCCTCATCCTTGGGCTTAGCGCATCTGTGCTTCGGTGGGAGAAACTCCTGCCCTCCTGATTTCCCTACTACCTGACCACCGAACTTCTCTGGGCCTCAGTTCCTCTGAGTGTGTAAGGGAGTCTGACCAGGTGATCTCCAAGGTCCTCTCCATTTAAGATAATAATCTGATTCAGTGGTGATGAGAGGATAAGAGACCGAGACCCATGTTTCAGCTCCAGCTCTGCCATGGTTCCCTGTGTGACCTTGAGAGAGTCACCTCTCTCAGGCCTGCCTCCCATCTTTTCAGTGAGAGGATCTCACCCCTCCAAGAATCTGAATTTTAAGGTGTCTGTGCTGCAGAGCAAACAACTTAATAATAACAAGAGTGACCACTTAGAAATCAACTGAGAGAATCGTTATTTTTGCAGGGCCTGGGCCTCTTGCAGTGAACTAGTACACTGTGCCTACTAGGAAATGCCTTATGTTTATATACAGCATCCCAGTGGCCCTATGGTGGGGATATCACTATTTATAGTTTTTAGATAAGAAAACTGAGGCTCAGAGCAGTGAAGCGATTTGCCTAAGGTCACACAGCTAGTTAAGTGGCAGACTCAGAATTCAGACCCAGGGCCATATAATTCCAAACCCACATTCCTTTACCTGCACTGTGTGGCTTCCTGTGAAGGGATGGCCACCTAGATTAGCAGGGGCTGTGGGAAGAGACAGAACTGATGGTGGTGGGGTGGTAAGAAGCATCCTTGGGACCCCTTGTCTCCTCTCCCTGGATACTTGGGTCTCCCCTTCTTTCTTCTGATCCCTGTTTATATGGGAGTGGTTTGAAGGATCAGAATCCTTACTTCTGAGACTCACCGGAAAAGGAATAGGGAAAGGACTCAAGGTAATATCACTTCCTCCCAGGTACACATTGTGCCTCGCAGTTTAACAAGGGTTTTCATAACCATTCCCTCATTTGATTTCACAACCCAGATGGGAGTGCCCCCATTTCACAGAGGAGGAAACTGAGGCCCAGAGAAGAGAAGTGACTCACCTAAGGTCATCTGGCCTCTGACTCCCAGAAGGCCCTTTCTCCTGCAGTCTTGCCTTTGCAGGCTGCATCCTGAAGTTTGGGAAACCTCGAGTTTCAGTAAGAGCAAGATGAGCCCAAGTAGTCATGCACTCATCCCCTCCTCTATGCTGGGCTCCCTGTTCTAGGCCAGGGGAGAAGGACACTGATAGCAGTAGGAAAAGCCTGAAGACTGGGTTCTAGTCCATTCTGCCCAGCTGTGTCTCTGACTTCAGAAGGTCCAGGCCCCTCCGCAGTCCCTCCCCATCTGTAGGATGGGAGAATCTCACCTCACCGGGTTGCTGTGAAGGCCTAGGGAGAGACTGGGTACAAAAACACTTTAGAAGCTGAAGGGTAACTGTTACCTCAGGGCCTGGGTAAGAGTGGGAGGGGTACAGGGACCCCGCCTCTGAGATGGCTGGGCCGTGCCCAGGACACTCTACTGCTCCCTCCCTCCCCACCTCAGAGGGGACCCCAAGGCCATTTGCCCCCCCCACCCCGGGCAGGGGCTCTCCCAGCCCCAAGGCTGGTCCTCAACAGAGCTCATCTCCCAGCTCCTGTTTGCTCTGTCTGTCAGGAGGGCCAGATCTACTGCGGCCTCATGACCTGCCCAGAACCGGGCTGCCCTGCACCCCTCCTGCTGCCCGCCTCCTGCTGCCAGGCCTGCAAAGGTGAGTCTGTCCCTAGATCTGGCAGTGCCCGCCCATCCCACCGCAGGGACCTAGCCATGGACTGTTAGGGGGGAACCTCAGGGGACACCAAGCATGTAGCAAACCATTCTTTCCTCAGGATGGTGGCTTAGCTGCAGCCTCTAGAAAGCTAAGCCTGTGTCAGAGGCTGATGTGCATTATTTTTTATTGCAATCTCAGGGAGCAGGAAGGAGGGGAAGGGAAAGTGAAGCAGGGAGGGAGGGAAAAACAACACAGGAATGTGTTGGGGAGCTGGCCTTTGCTTGATATCAAGTATGACCTATTGCTCTAAGTGACCTCCTGCTCCTCAGAAAAGTCTGGAGGTGATAGAGGAGGAGGTGGAATTTGCCCAGCAGCCACCAACTCTCACTGGTCAAAGATTCACCCCAAGGCGGGGTGATTCCCTCACACTCCCCGGTTGTGCTAGGCTGTCCTGGGAGCAGGAGGTGGGAGTGGGGCAGGGTAAGAAGTGGGGGCAGAGACATGGAGGAGGTGTGGCACGAGGGCACCCGCTGGCAGGGTGAGTCTGAGGGAAGTTGGCTGGAGCCCATGTGAAGGGGGTATTGCTGCAGTGCCTGCAGTGAGGGGACAAAATCCCTGCAATCAAATGAGGCCAAGAGGATCTGAAGAGGCACAAGAGAGGGGTCTGTACAGGCAGTGACCATGTCTCTTCCTGTTTTCCTCATGACAGAGCTGGGCACAGGCCTGGGCTCACTGGAGCTCAGGGCACCTGTCTCAAGCAGAATCTAGGTAGCATCTCTGTAAAGCACAGAGAGAGGCAACACACTGACGAGTGCGGGGCAAGCAGCTTGGGCAGAATGAAGTGCACAGATGGCCTGACTGTCCCCTGTGGGCAGGACTTGAGGAGGGGAGTGCTGCACTATAGAACGTTTCCCCAGATGTTGGCACTGTGGAAGGGCACCGGGCCAGGAGCCAGGTGATCCCAGTTTAGTCCTGGTTCTTCCAGCTAATTCCTGCAGATTCCTTCCCCTCTGGGCCTCAGCTGTGCTGTGTGTGCACTGAGAAATTGGCCTTGGTGATTTCTAATGTACAGGTTGATTCCAACGTTCTGGATCTTTGAACCCAGAATGCTCAGTGGTAGACACTCTGTATGTGAGGCAGGGGTGAAGGGGAGAGAATCCCACTCAGGGATCTAGGAAGCTGCAGGACTCCAGAGGGTTTTGTGTGCTGGTGCCCCAGGGTGTAGGGGATGGAGGAGTCCTAGGCTGTTCCAGCTGGAGGGGCAGTGGGGCTAGAGGGCAACCACGGGAGGGTATGGTGTAGACCAAGTCTGGTGACTTCATGCGTGGCTGGACAGAGAGGCTGCCCAGGGGACTGCAGCTAAGCAGGCTGGGATTCAGAGCCCTCGGGCCATCTGTGACGACACTGAACAAGATGCTCTGGCCCAGCCAGGTGGTTCAGTCTTAAGTGACCAAGAGGCCAGTGTGGGGAAACTGAGGCAGTGGCCCAGTTGTAGGGACTTCATCAACCTAAGGGTGAGGCGACGCTGTAATGAGAAGTAGGAATAAGGCCCCACTGGGGCAAAGGGACCTACTGGTGTGGGGGGCTGCAGAAGTGGCAACAGGCCTTGGAGGGGCAGAGCCTAGAGGTGGTGGCCTGCAGGGCTCTGGCCCCAAGGCTGAGGAAGCAGAGGCTGACCCGACTCCCTTTGGGTTTTCAGATGGGTCAAGTGAGAAGTCAGCTGAAGAGGATGCCACGCAGTCACACCGTGGGGTGGTGAGTGCACAGCTCTAGGGACAGGGTGGGGAGAGGAGGGGAGGGCGCTGGTATCCAGGGCCTAGGTCTCCTTGCTCTGGAGCAGGCAATACCAGTTGTTGCCCTCGTTTCTCATTTGTCCCCTGGGTCAGCTCCATTAGCCGCCACCAGGTTCCAGGCCCTCTCCTTAGACTTCCATCCTGGCTCCCACCGTGGGCTGGTGAGTCAGGAGGGGTCTGGGATAAAACACCACACAGGGCAGGAGCAGGCCCCAAGCTTCCCAATTTCCTTCCTGGAAAATTCTGACGCTGTTCCATCCAGAGCCTGTGTCTGTCCTTATTCAGGCCGCCTCTGGGCAGCATGTCCCCCAGGGGAGTGGCCTCTGACTTGGGCCAGCCTTCCCCATCTAGCTCCTGAGGTACCAGTTCTTTGTCTGGGGCTCCCTCACTGTTGCTGGCTCCATCTTGACCCCTCTCGATCTTGGTCTAGAGTTAAGATGAGCTAACCTGCCCAGCGCTCTCTGGTCAGAGAGGAAAGAGGTGGGAGAATGGGCCCGCACACTGACTCACGTCCCTGTCTGCACCTGTGCTATGTCTATGATGTGAAGTGCTCCACCTGCTCTTTCATCCTGGGTCACCTGGACCCTGGGGGACTCGAAGGGGGGGTTCCCCTTCCCAGAGACTCCCCAGGGGTCTGAACGAATGCGCTCTCCCTTCTCCCCTGCCAGCTCACCCCCACTTCCCAGGCTGGGCTTTGTCTAGCGGGTGCTGGGCCACGGGACCTGACCATGTCATCCCCCTTCCTCCCCATCCTCTCCCCAGGAGGCAGCTAAGTGAAACCCACCAGACTTAGTTCCAGGCCCTGAGCAGCTACTTACTGACTTGCTGGATGCCGTGGGCAAGTCACCAATTAGGGGGCTGGGCTCTTCAATTCCTTTCTGCCTCTATTCTACTTGACAAGCATTTCCTGGGTGCCTCCTGTGTGCCTCGGCCTGTGCTGGGGCCTGGGACACAGTTTCCACTCTAGGAGCTCTTGTGGGCTCAGTCCAGCCATCAGAGGACTGACTCAGAGACTGTACAGTCAGAAAGGGGCTGCAGAAGAAGGCATGTGAGTGACTCAGTGTCAGTGACGGGGTGGTAAGCTCTGCCCTTTGCCCCCAGCCCACTTGCTCCTCTCCCACGGCCTGGAGCTCCCAACCCCCGATCTCTGGACTGGGGAGCCCCTGCCCTGTTAGGCTGCCTTCACACACACACCCTTTGTTCTCACTGCCAGCCTTCCCAAGACCTGATCTGGAGGGGTGGGGTCTCGGGATGTTGGATTCCAGGGACTCAGGAAAGGAGGCTCCCAAGACCCATCATCTCCAGACAGGGCCTGCTCTCGGCCCTCCTGCCTGTGGGATTCCGGGGCCTGGTGGGATCTTCAGAGGCCCATCCCCTGTCCCATCACCTAAATCTTCTTGGACAAAGAAGAATTTCCTGACTCTCATCCTCACTACATTCTCACCTTCCATTTCTTACATATTAAGTTCTCCAGGTCCCTGATCACTTATGTCTCCCAGATCAAGACCACAGCACCCTTGCCCATCTCAGCCCCAAGGCTCTGGCTCTGCCAGCCTGAGAAGGGCTCAGTGGAGGCTGGATTTCCAAACCACTATCCTCTGAGAGTTTTCAAAGGCCTGGGAACATCTTCGACCCCATCCAGATCTTCTTTCTACCCAGAGCCTATGCCCTGTCTTCCCTGGGCCATCAGGCTCAGTCACTAGAGCCATTCTCAGGCCTCTCACCGCAGCCTCTGTCTGGCTGCTCCTGCACTGGCAGTGGCCTGTCGGTGATCTGCATCCTTCCTGCCCTTTGCAGAGACATTCCCAGGATCCGTGTTCAGGGGACGGTGGGAGAAAGAGAGACCTGAGCACCCCAAGCCCCACTGGCCCCAGCTCCCCCCTGGGCTTCCTCCCTCGCCACTTCCGACCGAAGGAGGCAGGCAGCACGACAGTCAAGATTGTTTTGAAGGAGAAACATAAGAAAGGTGGGAACTGGAGCCTCTGCCGACCCCTGAGGTGGGAAAGGGGGGTCCTGACCGCTCCCACTTCCCATCCCTGCACCTCCACTGAGTGGTTCCCTAATCTCAACTTGGCCATGAGCTTGTAGACCCCTAGAACGTCGGGTCTAAACCCCCATTTGACAGATGAGGACACTGAGGTTCAGAGTATTGAGTTAGAGACAGAACCAGTCCCGGAACCAGGACTACGGGCCATACAACAGTACTTTTTTTAGCATCTGCCACGTCTTTGCTGGGAATTGAGGGACACAGAAAAGAGAGATGGTCCCTGTCCTCCAGGAGCTCCTAGACTAGTAGGGCAGACAGACATGTACATTAATTATTATAAGATAAGGAAGTGGTGAGGGAACATTTTTGGTGAAGGAAGGAGGACGCAGAGCTGGGCTGCAGGAGGATGGTTGGGATGGATCAGGGAAGGAGGCTAAGGGGACAACTGTGGCAGCAGAGGGGGAGGAAAGAGGCCTCACTGCAGGGCACCCTGATTGGTGGAGCGGGAGGGGCTGCAGAGGCATCCGTCCAGACCCTCGCTGTACAGATGGGACACTGAGGCTGAGACAGGAGAAGGGACCTGACAGAGCTCACATGGCCAGGTAGTGACAGCACTTGATCACAGGTCTCCTACTGTCAGGCCATCCCTCCCCATGCCCCACTGGAGGTGCCTGTGAAGTGCAGGGGAGGACTCTCCATCTTCGGCAAGAACTTACTGGCCCATCTCAGCCCTGAGTGCTGAGATGGGGGATGTCAGGGACAGAGGACTGGTTTACTCCCTGGCCTCCACTTTGCAGGCAGCGTGGCTGGGCCAGACTGGTGGAGCAGGGGCCCCCCAAGGACCTACTCCCAGCCGTTATTGGACTCTGACCCGAGTCCGAGGCACTGACCCTCCTCCCTTCCTGCCCTCCCAGCCTGTGTGCATGGCGGGAAGACGTACTCCCATGGGGAGGTGTGGCACCCAGCCTTCCGCTCCTTTGGACCCCTGCCCTGCATCCTGTGCACCTGTCAGGACGGCCGCCAGGACTGCCAGCGCGTGACCTGCCCCACTGAGTACCCCTGCCGTCAGCCCAAGAAAGTGGCTGGGAAGTGCTGCAAGATTTGTCCAGGTACAAAGAGGGCCTGGGGACAGGGAAGGCACTGGCCAGAGTGAGCCATGGGTCTCTCTCCCCAGAGCACAGACACTTGGAACATCTCTGACATGGATGGGGCATGGCCTCAGAGCCAGGGGATGTAGGGGTTATTACATGCACAGAATGTTAGAAGCACAGCAGTGAAAAATGCCCAACTCATAAAATATTAGACTTATGGAACCATCTACTGTTACAGATTCAGAGACTTTCAGACATACATAGAATCAAATGATGTCCTGGATTCTGTGAAGTCATAAAATCTTAGGCTATTAGGACTTCTAAGAGGAATGGCCAACATTTATTGAGCATTTATCATGTGCCCGGTAGGTATTTTGGCTGAATTCATGTAATCCTCACCAAAACGGACAAGGCAGGCATCTTTATCTCCATTTTACAGAATGAGAAGATAAATACCTTGTCCCAGGTCCCGAAGCTGTAAGTGACAGAGCTGGGATATGAACCCTGTCGGTCTTATTCCAAAGACAATGCCCTCTTTTTATTTACTTATTTATTTATTTTGGCTGCGCAGCGCGGCTTGCAGGATCTTAGTTCCCTGACCAGGGATCGGATCCCAGGCCCACAGCAGTGAAAGCGCGGAATCCTAACCACTGGACCGCCAGGGAATTCCCACAAAGACAATGCTCTTGACCACTGCTGTCTTCCTTCAATCCTCATCAACATATGGGAAAACTGAGACCCAGAGAAGGGAAGGGAACTTCCTAAGTCACACAGCAAAAGAGCAGTGGAGCTGGAACTGGAACTCCTTCTAGAACCTGTCCTGTATCACACTCATCATTACTGCCATTGTCACCTCAATCCCTCCCAAACCTTTCATTCTACGTGTGTTCAGTGTGAGCCTGTGCTGGGTGGTATGAGTCACTCAAAAGACTTGGAGAACATGATTCCTGCCCTTCACCCTGTGGGTTTACTTTAGAGAGAAAACATACCCAAGTGAAACAATTACAAGGCAATGCAAGGCAGTGTGGGATTAAGGGCCTGAGGGAGAGGCATAAGCAAGAAGGGTTTTACAAGCTATGGGTGGGAGGAAATGGTGCACTGAGCTGTTCCAGGTAGGCTGCCTGAAAGAGGTGGAAGGTGAAGTGGGCCCTGAAGGGTGAGAAGTTTCCTGACATGCTAATCAATGGGAGGTGAATGGGGGAGAGGCCCCTTCTCTCTTCTCCAGAGACCTCCTTCTCTTCCCAGGGGCACCAGAACTTTCCCAAGGGCCCTATTGACCCTGAGGGAGATGTCAGACCAGTGGCCCCTCTTCCTGGGCTACCAGGGGTGGGGAGACAGAGTGTTCACGAGCTCCTTGTCTCTCCCAGAGGACAAGGCAGACCCTGGCCACAGTGAGATCAGTGCCACCAAGTGTCCGAAGGCGCCGGGCCGGGTCCTTGTCCACACATCAGTATCCCCAAGCCCGGACAACCTGCGTCGCCTGGCCCTCGAGCGTGAGGCTTCTGAACAGGTGGAGATCTACCTCTGGAAGCTGGTAAAAGGTGAGCAGTGGCCCACTCCCACTCTGGCCTGTCCGCCTTCCTTTGCTCCAGACCCGCCAAGGGTGGTAAGGGAGTTTTGTTGATCAAGTGCCTCTGGCCCAGGACGACCTGCCTTGGGCCACCTTCCAGCTTTGAGTCCCAGATTCCGAGATAGAGGGAGACTGATTCTATCTGACAATTCTGATAAGCTCACCCACTCTGAAATGCCAGGGCCTTGAAGTGCTCCCTCTCCTGGGGGAAAGGGGTTTTTACACTTTGTAAGGAGCCAGGACAAAGTAATGCCTACCCTGATAAAACAAAGAGCTGTCTATTGGTAGAATTTCAGCAGACTGGCAGGAGAGATCTTTTCAGGCAGGAGGGCCCTCACAGCATCCTCAAATCCTCAAGGCTAGTCTCATTCAGCCTTTTCTATAAGGTGGATTCTATCCCTCCAAGGTAAGTCGACATCAGAATATGTTTCTCATTCTGTAGAAACTCACCCTGTTCAGCAGGCTGCTCCTATCACCAACTGAAGGTCAAGAGTTTTCATTGATAGGGAATTGCCGAGAGTTCAGTTATGGGGCTCTTCTTGTAAAACAAAAATCCCCTGGATAGAGTAAAACAAATTAAAACCTTTAAGTGGAAATTAGCTGTAAGGTCAATTTATTGATGTGTTTGGCTGGCAGTGGGGAGGTGGGGGAGATGTGGGGGGTGAAAGAGGGGATGATAATAAGAATGATGACAATGATAATAACAACCAATGTGTGAAGCACTTTGGAGTTTACAAAGTGCTTTCACGTTCATTATCTCATTTGATCTTCAACGATCCTGAGAGTTAGGTATTATTATCCCCATTTTACAGATGAGGAAACTGAGGCTCAGAGAGGTGAAGTACTTGGCCCAAGGCCACACAGCCAGTAAGTGGAGGACGGGAGCTAGAGCCCAGGTCTTGTGACGTCAGATGCGGCTCTTTCCCTGCTCTACTCTGCCCCCTGTCGTAGGAGGAATGGACGAAGAAAGCGGAGCTGTTCAGCCTGGAGAAGAGAAGACTCAGGGGGACAGGACCGCTGGCTTCATGGCTCTGAAGGACTGCCCCAGGCAAAGGGAGCAGTTGTGTTCTCAGTGACCACAAGGGTCAGAACAACAAGCAGGGGCTTTGGAATCACACAGACCTGGGTTTGAATCCCCGCTCTGCCATTTCTTAGCTGTGTGGCCTTGGGCAATCACTTGACCTCTCTGGGCCTCAGATTTCCCTTCTGTTAATGGGGGAGAAGGGGTTTTGGAGGATTAAATGAAAGAATATAGGTACCACCCCTGACCTATAGTAAGTGCTAAAAATGTCAGCCTCCTTCTTATCCCGTCTCATCAGTTGGTTTCAGTTTATGAGAGGAAGCACCTTCTCAAGCGTAAAGCCTTCCTGCAGTGGAAGGGAGGAAGCAAGTTCCATTCACGCAAGTGTGCAAGCAAGGGCTGGGTGGGGATTTGGCCACTGGCTGAGGAGTTAAGTTCAATAACCTTCATGATTGTTTTGAGCCTTGAGATTCCATCTTTCCCTGGACAGGTGGGGCTGCATGTTTACGATGGGCCTCCTCCCACCCCTCTGTGACCACAGAGAGTAACAGGCCCAGGCTCTGTCCTCAGGACCCCATGGCTCTGTGCCCTGGGTGCAGGAGGAGCTCCCTGGGAGCTGAGCTGGTCAGGGAAGGCTTTGTGGAGGATGGGCCTGAGCTGGACAGGATTTAGAAAGGCAAGAGGGGCACACTACAGGCAGGCTGACAGTGACAGCCTCAAACTCTGGTGCCAGAGCCCATGTTTACATGCCTGGTGCTCTGTGATTGGCATTTAGCAGGTACTATATATAATGTGCTTCAATTCACCCACATATAAGAAAGCTGAAGGGTATGTATTAATGCCCCATTTTGCAGATAAGAAAACTGAGTCTGAGAGGTAAAATGACTTGCTCAAAACCACACAGTTTAAACAGTAAAGCAAAGATTCAAACCCAGGTCTTACTGTCCCCAGTGCCGCCTCCACAAAGGTGACCTTATGCTTTTAGGGAAGGGCCTGAGGAAGGCCCAGTATGGCAGAGAAGGAGGCATGATAGCTCAAGGCAAAATCTCATTACCAGGCGGCCCAACAAAAAGGAACAAGGTGGGGAGGACTCTTCAACTTCACAATGCCAGGCCCTGCCATCCTGTCACTAGCAAACCTTCCCCCACCCCCGCCCCACTATCTCCTGAGCCTCTGGGTGCCTGAAATGCCCCATCAGCCTCCCTGTCTGTTACCTCCCTGTCCCAGACTGTGAAAGTCAAAACAAACTCTCCCAAGGTCTGATCGTCAGTGGGAAACCTTTCCTGTTTCCTCACCCAGACAAGTGGAAACAGCAGGCCTGGGGGGCCAGGAGAGGAAGAGGGCAATTGGCCTGGACACAAAGTGAGCAGGTGGATGCTGAAAGCTGGGCTGAGTAGCCACACCACATTGGGACCAGCCCCAGGCCCAGAGTCTGAGCAGAGAGCTGGCGTAGGGTTAAAGGGCTTTTTAGAGTCTAGAATTTCAGAGTAGAAGGGACCTCAGGGGTCTCCATTCCTCCCCCCGCCCCAGGAAGGAAGTCCCCCTGCAGCCTCCCTGATGGTCTCTAGCCCCTGACTGCACACACCCCCTCCCCACCTCCAGACAGGTGGTTCACTTGCCATTCTGGGCATGGCTCTACCCAGAGAGGGTTCTTCACACTAAGCTAAGCCTGTCCTATCTCTTGGAACTCGCCCACCACTGCCACCTCTGCCCGGGACACACAGAGCCCAGCCACTCTCAGGCCTGGCACGCCCTTCAAAGAGCAAGAGGCACAACCATGACCCTCAGGCAAGCTCTTGATTCCAGGCCCAAGATCTCAGACCTTTCAATCATGCTTTATAGGCAACAGCGTGGGGACCTGCCCTCAGCCCCGTTACCTCTCCAATTTGTGTTTGGGGGTTTGTGCAGCGGCAGGACTGGAGCACCAGGACCTGTCCCCATCTCATGCTTGTGATGTGACCTGGGCCTTTGGAGCAAGTCTCTCCCGTATTCTGGTCCTTGGCATCTGGACCGGGGGGCCTGAAGACAGTGCTGGGCATTCCCAGCTTCCTGGACCTCAGTCCCAGGACCCGTGCTGTCTCTTCCCCTCGGTGGGATCCCACTTGGATTCCCATAAGCAAGGCCGGTTCTTGGTTTTCTTGAGGGCAGTGCTGGCCTACCAGAGGTCTTGCTGTCACATCTGTTCTTTCTGGCCACAGACCCCGGTGGTAACAGCCGACACGACATCAGAGCCCATGTGCTCAGGGCCTCAGCGCCATGTGTGGTGCCTGTGCTCCCCAGGGGATGCAAACATCAGGAGACACAGCTAGTACCTCATTCCCCCTCAGGGCCTGGCCTACACAGGGTACACATATATTTGCTTATCCATCCATCCATCCACCCATGGATTCATTCATTCATTCATTCAGCATGCCTAATGTGGGCCAGGTGCAGGGAACCCAAGAGGAACACCCTCCCCCAAGTTCCCAGTCTGGTAAGGGAGGCAAGAGCAGACACAATGATAGCACATTAGAAATAGGAACAATCATAAACAGAAGCCAAGAGCTGTGGGAAACCCAAGGAGGAAATTATAACTATTTGGGGGAAGGGGGAGAATTGAGGAAGACTTCCCAGGTGAGGCTGGGAGGATGAGTAGGAGTTCACCTGTGGCAATGGGAGCAGGTGTTTCAGCAGAGGGGGCAGCATATGTGAAGGCTCGGCCCCCTCAGGGACCTCAAGTAGCTGATTAGGACTGTAGCACAGGCAGGGCCACTCAGAGGGATGGGGTAGCCTGAGCCTTGAGCCCAAAGGGAGACTACAACCCTGACACCTGTAGTGCTTGGGTGTCTGAAGCAAATCACCTATTGATTTTTATCATACGTTCTATGTCCAGATAAAAGCTTGACCAGGCCCTACAGGCCTGGCAGCTTTTCTTCCTTCTTTCCTCCCTCCCTCCTGCATTCCCCCTCTCTGCATTGTGGACAGGTGAGTGGTGTGAGAGCAGGAAGGTGACAGTGACAGGAGCAGGGTCACGGAAGGGGAATGACGGGGTAACATGCATATTTTCCAATGACCACAGCCAGGATCATAGGTTAGAGGCGGGGTTAAAGGGGTCAGAAGTCTAGTGCAGTGACCCAGGCAAGGCATGATGGGGCCTGAATGGGAAGGGTGACAGTGGGGATAGGAGAACAGATTCAAAATATTTAGGGAATTTAGTCCACAGGATTTGGTGGCTGGTCAGAAAGGGGGAGGGGAGGGAGGTGACGGGGTCTGTCTGTCCCAGGTCTAAGTCACCCTGTTTCACTGACCACACACCCTGCCTTTCCTGCTCACGCCCTTGTCTCTGCCCTCAGGAATCTTCCACTTGATTCAGATCAAGAAAGTCAGGAAGCAAGACTTCCAGAAAGAGGCACAGAACTTCCGGTTGCTCACTGGCACCCACAAAGGTGGGACCCTGGGCTGAGGACTGGGGCCTGGGAAGAGAGCCGGGCTAGAAGCTGGGGCCTCCTGGGGAGTTCCAGGCTGCTGGTGCTGGGAGGAGGGCGGCTGTCAGCCACAGACGTCAGTTCCCAGCACAGGAATCCAGTGGGCGTCTGGGCCAGAGATTTCCTAACTCAGACGCCCGGGAGCTTGGGAGCGGGAAGGTAAAGCAGAGCCAGCTGGATTTGGTCTTGGGGGTGAGGGAGACGGGGCTGTCAGAGGTGGGGCTCTGAGCCCCTAAGTCCTGGTGCTGCTTCGTTTCTCTCCACTGGAACTTTTCCCACTGAAACCTTCTAACCACGTTCCTTCTGATGCCCTTAAGTTGCTCTACACTCCCCCGAGGAAGATGGACCCAGGTGGGTCTTCAGGTGGGGGAGAGGAAGTCACAGACGGGAGGGTCACCAACAAGAGTCAGGATACCAGCCCGGCCCACACATGTTGGTTGTTTGAGGCGGGGTCATGTGTCAGAACCCTCTGGGATTTGGGGTGTGATGGGGTCCCCACCTCCCTCCTCCCTGTGGGCTCCAAACCCAGGCTACTCAGTCCTCGTTGTCCTAAGTTTGCCCCACCCCAGTCACCCTGTCTCTGTTGTGCACATGCATGCACACACACACACCACACACACACACAACACACACACACACCCCTGCACATACACATACAGCACACACCCCTACACACACACGCGACTCTTCCTCTTTTCTCCATGCAGGTCACTGGAACGTCTTCCTAGCCCAGACCCCGGAGCTGAAGGTCACGGCCAGTCCAGACAAAGTGACCAAGACCTTGTAACACAGACCTGAACAGCTGCAGATGTGAGCTTTATTATTTTTGTTGCTATATATTAATAAATAAGAAGTTGCATCACCCCTCAACCCTGCCTGCTGAGTCCGTATCCAGTCTCCACGTGTTCTCACAGTGACTGCAGACAGGCAGAGACTGGCCTGCGTCCTCACGGTGAGCTGTTATGAGAGCCGGGGCTAGTTCCCCCAGCCTTCTGACCCAGACCCTCGTCTGCCATCGTGGCCTCTCCCCTGCTCTGTGCTGCTTCTGTGCCCAGCCCCCAACTACAGCGCCTCCTGCTTTTGTGGGCCATCCTCCTCCCATAGCTCTTTGGCAGTGAGCCTAGGAAAGGGGACTGACTGGAGTTAGCCAGAGGAGCAGGGTGCATGGAGCCTCAAAGTGCTTTCCCAGCAGATATTCCAGAGATCCTTACAATTGTCAGCTACACTTTACAATGAGGTCGCTGAGTTTAGGGAGGAGCAGTAATTTGCCTGAAGCCACAGAGCAGGGTGGTAGCAGATTTGGAATTGGATGCCCAGTCTCTTGCTCCAAGCTAGCACTCGTCCCCGTTCCACCGTGACCAATGTTATAAACCCAAACATTCTCACCTCAGAGGATTTCCAAGACTTGGCAGTCAGATTGCCAACCCTGGCACCACGGTCTGGGAAGAAAGCCTAACGGTTACAGTTAAAGACTACATCAGTCATTTATCCTGCCCGCGTGTACAATTCCTCGCCATTTCAAAGATGTTTTAATGCCCGTGATTCTACTTGAGGTGAACTAGTATAGGAATTACCCCCATTTTAGAGAGGAGAGAACAGAGGTTCAGGATTGGCCACTGTCTTCCCCAAAGCCTCACAGTGATGAGTGGTGAAGCCAGAACCAGAATTCAGACCTACTGACTCCTAGACCTGTGCTCTCATCCCACGGCCAGGCCCACTCCCACGCCAAGCCTGATTGGAAGCCGTGGAGAGACAGTGTCAAGTGGCCTTTTGGTTGGATTCTGCCACCTGCAGCCACTTAGAGGGCTCTGCTCCGAGCCCTGGTCTTGTACCTGGGCATCTGAGGTCTGGGAAGTCGTCTAAGCAGCCTCCCAATGCTGCCCTTACTGAGCAGGGACGGGTATCACCCTCCCCAAACTCCCTCTGCCAGCTCCCAGGGGGCCTGGATTGAGAGTCTGGGGTTTGAGGAACATGGTTGGAGCCTCCCCCTCATCCTCTGAGTCAAAGGACATCCAGCTCCTCACAGCCTCTGCCTGGCCCTCCTGGAGAAGACTCGCCATTCTGGCCTTGTTTGCTCACCACGTGGGGTTAACTTGGGAGTCCAGGCATGGCTTCTCAGCCTCCTGAATTTAAAGCATAGGAGCCAGCCATTCACACCACGAACTGGTCATCCTTCAACCTAGCTCAGATGTCTCCTGCTCAGTGGGGCTTTTCCTGCCACGCCACCCCCACCCCTGCTCCTGCACAGGGGCCCCTCCCCTCGGCTGGAGAATGGGGTTGAAGGCAAGGCTCTGTAATCAGAGGCATCTCCGGGGCCTCAGGACAGGAATGGCTTCCCTGTATACTTTTCCTGGTGTTGCAGGCCAACTGCCTTCCTGGTTTCTCTGATGGACTTATCCGAAGCCTGTGAGGTTCACCCCAGATCTTTCCCACCATGGGAGCATGTTCAGCCCATCAGCACCTCCAGACTTTGGTCCAGACTTTTCTGAGTGTGTCAACATAAGGCTTGCCTTGGGAATCTCTAAGCAGCTCTCTCAGGGCTCTACATCACTCTGAGTTGTCTTCTCCTTCCCTGTATTCATTCATAAAACACTTTCTGATCTACACCGGCCTAGGCCTTGTGCTAGATGACTGACACAGAGTAAGGAACCAATACGGCCCTGCCTGTCCCTAGGGAGCCAAAATCTTGAGCAGGAGATGAGGCCTCACAACACCATGAGTACAAGGGCTGTGACAGCAGGGCTGTGGGGACCACAGCCCCTGCCCAGATGGAGGACACTTCAGCTAGCTCTGAGGGATGAGCAGGAGTTAGAAGAAAAGGTGGAGGCAGGGAGAGGCGGGTGGGACAGTGGTACAGGAAGTGACAGCTTCATGGAAGACGAAAAACAGCATCTTACAAGGAGAACCACAAACAGCTCACTGCTGCTGGATAATAAAATGTGAGGCAAAGAGCGGAGGGAGGTGAGGCTGAATGCCCGGCCGAGAAGCTTTGGCATCATCCTGAGGGCAGCAGAGAGCCCTGGAAGGGTTTCAGTGCTTTGGTCAGATTTGTGGTTTAGAAAGCTGGCCCTGCCTGCTGGGTGAAGCACGGTGTAGAGGAGAGAGGCGGAGACCAGGTAGGGGGCTGCTGTGGGATCCGTGGAAGGGATGACAACGCCTGGGCAGGAGAGAGGCGACGGGGGTGGGAGAGAAGGCAGAGCTGAGGAAGAGGGGGGAGTCGGGGTGCAGCTGGTGCCTCACGTGGTGACCGAGGGGAGAACCCAGGAGTTTCAGCTGAGCTGAGTCTCAGGAGAGAACCCCAGCCCTTTGGGTATATTATGGTTTGGAGAGGAGGCTGGGCCAGAGACAAGGATTTGGGAGCTGTTGGCCTGCAGGTGGTAACTAACGCCAGGGGATGGGAGACATTGGCCTGTAGAGTGAAAAGAGAAGGGTCATTAGGACAGAGCCCCGGAGCATCAGCAAAGGAACTGCACGGAGGCGAGAGAGAAGCCAGGAGAGTGCACGGCTGAGAGTCCAATAGGTGAAACCTGGAAAGGGGGCTTCTGGTGACCGTGGCCACGGGCACTGTGAGGGGAGCTGGGAGGCAGGAGCAGGTTGTGCAGGGCTGAGGCGGTGTCTGGGAGGTGAGGAAACAGACAAGCCTTTGAAGAGCTTGGGTGGTAAAGGAGAGGAGAGAGGCAGGGCAGTGGCTGGCAGTGAGCATGAGATGGAGGAAGGGGTTTTCAGGCGGGACAGATTTAAGCAAGTGTTGCTGATGAGGAGACCTCACAGGAGAGGGAGAAGTAGAAGAGACAGGAGTGAGGATGGAGGAAGGGAAGATTTAGGGACAAGTTAAAGTCCATTCTTCCCAAGCCACTAACTCGCTGCATAACCCTGGCTGGCCTCCCCATGAGTGGGACGGGGGAGAAGGATGCGGTGGTCTCCTGGGGCTGCCCAGCTCTATCCCTGATGGGGCTCCCTGAGACCGCAGCAGGGAGTCCTGTGGGATCCACTATCTTGGTGGCCAGGCTGGGCTCTGCGTGAAGTAGGGACATCCCCTCCCACAGGCACGGTCAAGTCCGTTGTCTCGTCTAACGCCCGGAACAACCCAGTGAGGTGGGGCATGTCAACCATATTATGGAGATGAGGAAACTAAGGCTCAGGGAGAGGAAGTGACCTAATAAAGATCACACATTAGTAAACGGATTCCAGCTGAGGTCTGGGATTCTGCACCCTGATGGAGCCCAGAGCACTGGAGGGGCCAGGTCCTGGGCTGGAACAGGTGCAGCCTCTGCTCCACTCAACCTTCCCAGGTAGCTTCCTGGCCCCTAAACTTGATCATCCTATTATAAGGCCACACCTGGCCTCCAGATTTCCTGGAGAGGCTCCCTCCTCCTCCCCCTCCCCTCCCCTCCTCCTCCTCCTCCTTCTTCTTTTCCTCCTCCTCCAGCAGCTGTGAAGCCACCTCCCCCTGTCCCCAACAAACGCTGGGCTCTGGGAAATGGCAGTATTTCTGAGAAACAGGACATGGCCTGTGGTTTGGGACTGGCCTGGGGGTGAGGGAAGGCCTGGGGCCCCACCAGGCACAATGGCATCTCTCTCCAGGGCAGGTCCGGCCACCCTCCTTCCCTTCACCCTGGTCCCTGGAAGACACCCACTACCTGCCTTCTTCACCTGCAGGGTCAGTTCGTGGAAGATGAACAGGAAGCGCCTTAGGAGGCTGGCTAAAGTTGAGAGGGGTTGGGGTGGTGTGGGTTTCTGTGCACAGGGCTTATCTCAGACCTTCTATAATGGGAGTTAGGACCTGGATCTCTGGTCCCCAGCTCAAGGCTGTTTGAATGACCACATGTCACCTAATGTCTCTCCCCACCTTATCCATCCCTGGCACAAAACAGAGCCCACATAACTTGCCCGAAGTCAAACAGCAATGAAGAGTTGGAGCTGTGACTGGAACCTGCAGGGTCTGGCCCCAAAGTCTGCCCTCTCCCTCTGCCCCATGATGTCCGGGCTGAGGATAAGATCTGTCTTCTCGCCAGCTCCCCTGCCACCAGCCTCTCCTCTCCACGCTTTCCTCTTCCTAGCAAGTCTTGCCTATCAAACCAGAATGATCTTTTAAAAACACAAATCTTACCCTGTCTCCCCTCCATTAAGCCCCTCCTTCAATGGCTTCCCTCTGCCCTCAGAATAGCCTTGAAACTTCCTCTCCCGGCCCTTCACGATCTGACTCCTGCTGCCTCTTCAGCCCTAATTCCCCCACTTCTTCTCCCAGCTGCATCCCAGGGTCTGGTTTGCTGCCCCACCTGATCAAGTTGGGATGGGTGTGGGCTCTAGGAACACTTGGATCACAGGCTCTGACACCATCAGGATGTTCTCTCTCTGTTGCTCCCTGCCTATCAGCAATTTCTTTCCAACCAGCTCTTTCAAGAAGCAGATATACCGTGCACTGCTCAGTATCCTGATAGCTCTCAGTTAAATAAGATACAAAGGTTCTTCCCTTCCAATTCCAATAGAGAGATTCTCGGGGAGGACTTGGATTGGTCCATCTTGGGTGAACAGGAAGGAGGTATTAGAATCATATGATTGGATTGGGGGAGCAGTCCCCCAAATAAGGGGGTGGACAGCACACACATGGTCACAAAAGGAATCCCTGTTACCAGGCTGCCACTGCTACACCTTCAGACCATTTCTTAAGCCAGTGTCCTCTCTTCCACACCTTAAACATGCTGTTCCCACTTTCTAGAATGCTTTTCCCTATTTTCTGCCTATGGTGGTCCAGCTTAGACTTTAAGCCCTCCTCAGAATAGCCCTCCCTGGTTCCCTCTGCTGCCCCAGTATTGCACACTCTTCTGTAATTGAATTCACCCTTTTGTACTGCAGTGATCTGTTCCTGA